ATGCCGAAGGAAGGCAGGGGCTGCAGCTGCAGCTCCTGCTCGAGCTGGCGTGGGGAACAGGACAGAAATAGCCTGTTCCGAAACCCAGTTGTCGTGCCTGAGTGTTAGGGCAGGTCGAAACAAATGACGGCCTGAAAATGGCCCTCCGTTTCAGGCTGGAAAGCCTCTGGGCCAGAAATTGGCTGAAAACGGAGTAGGGCCTGCAGGCCCTCGTTTTTCAGCTTTGCTGAAACGACCGGGGCCTGTAAGCCCTAAGTTTTAGTCTTTTAGGCTGAAAGTGCGGGACGGGCCCTGCAGGGCCTGTGTGGCTACGCAGTATGCCACCCCCCCCCCCTTCTTGAAAGACCGAACTTACCTGCGAGGGCGAAGCTGTCTGTCTGAGGGAGGGACCACAGTCCGGGTGGGAGGGGCTGGTCGTGAGGCTTCCTGAGCTAACCTCCACTTTTCATAATGCGCGTAGATCAGCGGTGCGGATGCTTTCAAATCTGCGCCTGAAATCCACCGAGTGTCGTCGCGATCGCATGCTTTGAATGTGACTTTGTACTGCCGCGGCTTGCTGCCGTACTTGCGATCGGTGATGACGCGGTCAACTTCCTGATGACCATCCATAGACGGAGGGTTTTGCGATCGTCAGCCCGGGAAGTCGTCGCTCTTGGCTGGCGTGTATGTTGCCAGCTTCGAGGCGTGGAAGACTGGATGGATCGTCAGATGCTCTGGAATGTTGATCACAAATGAAGGGCCATCGGGCTCGTCACCCGCGGCTGCTGTCACAGACCATGGTCCAAACCACTTGGGAAGCAGTTTGCGTGAAACATCCTGTTCCAGTGCAAACTCTTACGCGGAGACCCAAACCAGATCACCGGCGCGGATAGGACATGGCACGCAACGCCTCTTGGCTTGCTGCTGCATGCGGACTTGAGCCTTTTGCATGTTCGCGCAGGCTTGAGTCAGCAATTCCCTGTACTTCCGAACGGAAGCGGGGGAGCAAGCGGCGTCAATGTCGGCTGGTCGAAGGAGGAGAAGGTCGGCGAAGATACGGCCTTTCCGTCCACCGTGGTGCCGGGTGCACCGAAGTGTTGTAGGCGAACTCGATGTCGGGGAGGCGGTCAACCCAATGTTTCTGGTCCGGACGGATGAGCGTACGAAGCATCATTTGAGCGGTTTGATGTGCCCGCTCCGTCTGCCCGTCTGTTTGTGGATGCCGAGCCGAACTTGGTTTCATCGTTGTGTCGGATTCCTGCATGAGCGCAGTCCAAAATGCTGACATGAAACAAGTGTCGCGGTCGCTGACTATGTCTTCTCGTACACCGTGGCCACAAATCAAACCAGTGTGCAAGAGGCGTGCCAGCTCGGGAGCCGTGGAGTAGTACTTGCAAGGGAGAAAACACGCGTACTTACTCAATCGGTCCACAACCGTGAGGATGCCGTCGTGCCCGAGCCGGTCGCGAGGAAATGGACCGGTGACGTTCATAGCAATGGAGAGACCGGGTTCCCGTGGAATAGGCATCGGGTGTAACTCGCCATAGGGATTGCGGTTGCGGGGTTTGCTGCGTCGGCAAACTTCGCAMGAGTCGCAATACCGAGTGACATCGRTAATGAGGTYRGGCCATCGGAATCGCTGTCRAAGCCGTKCAATAGYGCGGTTGACTCCGAAATGGCYGGCGAGTCGCGAATCATGATACTCGCCGAGGAGSCSAGTCCGAAGACGACGGTYGCGTRGGACACACAGTAAATCCTTGCCTCTCGAGTGGAGGAGCAAGTACCCGTCGGCAATGCGGTAATGGCTGGCCGGCGGGTGATCCGAAGATAGCTGTGCATATAGCGTGGCGAAGTCCGGATCAGACTGGTATGCCCGAATGAAGTGTCGCTGAAGCTCCTCGTCGAATGCGAAGGCATGATGTGTCATAGCGCAAAGATCAGGTCTTCGCGAGAGTGCATCTGCTGCGCGATTTGAGAGGCCGGGAAGATGTTTCGGTGTGAAGTCAAACTAGTCGATGAAGTACATCCATCGTCCGATCGTGCTGCTCACCGTATCCTGCGCCTTGTAGTAGGTCAATGGATTCTTGTCTGTGACCCATGTGAACCTACGACGCCCAAGGAGGAAGTGCCACCATCGCTTTAGAGCCATGACGAACGCGAGTAGCTCCTTCTTCCTTGCATCAGCAAGCGAGTTGATGGGAGGCACTTTGTGGCTGAAATACTCCACAGGGTGCCAGTCGTCGTCGTCGTGCTGTTCCAAGACTGCCCCAATACCGTAGCCGGAAGCGTCCGTAGTCACTCTCGTAGGCAGGGTGGGGTCATAGATGCTAAGGACGGGTGCCATGAGCATAGCCGTCTTAAGTGCTTGGAATGACCGGCGTGCGTCGTCATCGAATACGAATGGCACCTTTGGCGATTGTAACCTCGTCATAGGTGCAACAATCCTGGAGTATCCGGTGATGAATCGCTGATAGTAGCCCGCCAATCCCATGAATGAACGAACGTCCGTGGTGTTGGTGGGCTCGGGTCATACTCGTAGGGCCTCGATCTTGTCCGCAAGCGGACGGATGCCTTGCGGCGTCACATAGTGTCCCAAGTACTCCAGCTCCTGCCACGCAAATTCACACTTGTCGCGGTTGGCTTTGTACTTGGCCTATCGTAGCCGCTCCAAAACGGTGTGCAGGTGTTCCACATGCTCCTCCAAACTCCGGCTGTACACCAGGATGTCGTCGAGATAGATAAGCACGTATCGATCCAGCATGTGTCGGAACTCCGTTGTCATAGCCGCTTGGAAAGTGGCCGGGGCATTCGTAAGGCCAAAATTGCATGACCAACCATTCGAAATGCCCATATCGCGTCTTAAACGTGGTCTTGTAACGGTCCTCCTTACGAATCTCGAGTTGGTGATATCCCGACTTGAGGTCCAGCTTGGAGAAGAACTTGGCGCCGCCCAGTCGCTCGAGAACATCGTCGATGCGTGGGAGAGGGCCGGCGTTCCTGATCGTCTGCGCGTTGACCTTGTGATAGCCGATGCACAACCGCAAATCCTTGTTCTTCTTCCGGACGAAGAGAACAGGAGCACCGTATGGCGATGAGCTAGGCCGAATCCAACCTTTCTCCAGAAGGTCGTCGAGTTGTGCCCGAAGCACACATAACTCTTCCTCGCTCATTCGGTAGATGCAACCACGCGGAGGTACGGCCCCGTCCTCGAGGATGATCTCGTGGCGGATGGGCCAATCCGGTACTACTCCGTGCGGGCCTTCGAACACGTCGCTGTAAGCGTCGAGAAGCTCGGTGATGCGTGGATCCGAAGATGAGTCCGTCAATGAAGCGTCGTGGGGCGGGAGGGCGTGGAGAAAACACACCCCCATCTCCTCGATGTCGTCTCTGATGATGGATGCTCGCATTCTTGTGGTGGATACCACGTGGCAGCTGATCGAAGGATGAGGAAGAGGTACCGTGCATGGAACTAGTACTCCGTTCCGATCACGAATGTGAACGGTGCGGTGGAAGAAGTTCACCGGGTGATCCTCGCTTCGCAGCCATGACATGCCCAAGATCATGTCGAACTTGGTGTCCAGAATGTCAAAGGACACCGCCTCACTTGCGTGAGGAGCAAAGTACACTGGGACGTTGTCAATGCACCGGTCGATTGACTTGTGCGTATGACCGTCTGTCAACGTGACTTGCGTAGGCTGGGACTTCCTCCGGACACGTGGGCCAAGGCCGGCGCGTACCATGAAGTCCTGGCTGATGTAGTTGCGAGATGCTCCGCAATCGATCAAGGCGTTGCAGGTCGCCTCTCCGATCTGAATGCGTACATATAGCAATGGTGCGTCGATGTCATCGTACCGTTGCGTCTTGAACTCGCGGTCGATCTTCGCAATGTAAGCGTGAAGGTCGACAACCTCTACTTCGGCGTCCATCAACGGAGCTGGTAGTGCAGTGTGCAAGTAATCCCGCAGTTGTGCCATGAGCACGTTGCAATGCGGTTTCGGCAATCGTCCGGTCGGGGGAATGGGCATCCACTGGAAGTCCATGAACGTCAGTGGGTCGAGCACCTCAAGTCTTGACCACGACGATGAATCCCCAACGATAGATGGCGGCGAAGCTGCCGAATCGGTTGCCGATGGTGATGAAACCGTGCATGCGGTTGATTGTTTCACGTGGAGCGGTTGGTCCGGCGGTGGAACCAAGTGGACAGCATAGTCCTCGTAAGTGTACCGAGAACTTACGATATTCGCATCCTCCCCAGATGTGCAGGAGGCCGCTAGCAAGGCGGCCGAATCTGGCGGAGTAGAAGGTGGAGTCGCCTCACCTTCCGTGGAACTCAGTTTCCCGAGTTGAGGCGGGGTCGCACATCCTCCTTGCCCTAATCCTGGCACAGGGAGGTCTTGTGTTTGGTGCTGTTGCACCAATAGCAGCAGCCGTAGCGGCCGCGGAACTTGTACTCCGCCTCGGTCAAGCTGAACTTGACCCATGGAAGCTGTCCATTTCCGGCCTGCGATGCGGGTTTCGCCTTCCCATTGTTGCGGGACTTGTTGTTGCTTCGCGGCTGGACAGCAGCCACCTGATCTCCATCACTTGATGCTGGAGTGGCTGCTGGGTTATCTCCACTGTACGACTGGACTGCAGCGAACTGCTGCTGTCGCGGACCAGTTCTCACCTTCTCCACATAGGTTGACTGCCATGTTGACTTCTCGTGTGCAGCCGACCTGTTGGTCTTGATGATCTCTCTTGACTTGTCAATTATCTCCGCGAAAGTGGTATACTGCTTGGAATCACCAAGAGCCTGGCTCAATGCAGCACATGACCTGTTGTAGAACTCACGACGTAGATGCGTGAATGGTAAGTCCAGATCGGGCACTGCCGTGATCTTCTGCTATTCCGTGAGCCAGTCACGTGTTGTTGTTGTGCCCCTTGTGACATGGTGAAAAAACGGTTGATGGCGAGTGTCGGCGCGTCGTCTACGATGAACCGTTTCTTCCACAACCGTGTCAATTCCTCCCATGTGATCTTGTCCTTCAAGTCTGGTACGTCGACGCTGTGGGAGGTTGCCAGGTGGGTCAACCAGGTCTGGCATCCGCCCTTTGAGTTCATAAACAGGGCGCCGATGTACGCATGCTTAGCGACAGGCAGAATCCTGAGTTGCGTCGTGAACGCTTCCCACCAGAGGACCGGATCCTGCTGCGTGTAGTCGTCAAACTTTTCCAGTTGGAAAGTTGGCATCTTGTACAACTTAGGATTGCCATCCATGTTCGTCAACTGCAGCTGCTGGACCTCGATCTTCAAGGTATGCAGCTGACTGCTGATGGTGGTCGGCGCAGCGAAGGTGCTGATGTCGCCGAGCATTGCCACTACGTGGTCAACGCGTTCATCCAGTTGGCGGCTAGAGGGTGCACTGCTGGAAGCCCCAGCATCTGGTCTTGGTGGAACTTGTTCCAAGTCCTGTACAAGGGCGTACAGTGCCCGTGTGGCATCCTCGTGCTGAGTCTTATGGTTCCGCACGGCCCGCTGGAGGTTCGCCAGCTCGGACTGTAGGTGGTTACAAGTGTAAACCAACCTGGTCACGAGCTTGGCCATGAACTCCTTATGATGCTCCTCCGGTGTCGCCTCGTCGTCGTTGGGTTCAAAGTGCCAGAACTTGAGTCTTTCGATGCTGGCTGCTTCATGCCGCTGCAGCAGATCCTGGGCCTCCTTGCGGCGAGCCTGGGTGTCTGCGTCTGCTTCGGCCTGTAGCCGCTGCTTCTCAGCTGTTGCAGCTGCTTCAGCCTGTAGGCGGGCAGCCGCAGCTGCCAGCTGGTGCTGTTCCTCAGCCTCGATCCGAGCGATCTGTTGGCCAGTTGGCCCGGCATGCCCAGAGCTGCGCCCGTCATGGTGGCGAGGCACGGCTGACGTGGCACTGTTGCCTACGTGGCACTGCTGATGTGGCATTGTCTGACGTGGCGCTGCTGACGTGGCACTGTTGCCTACGTGGCACTGATGATGTGGCACTGTCTGACGTGGCACTGCTGACGTGGCACTGTGTCTGATGTGGCACTGCTGACATGGCACTGTCTGACGTGGCACTGTTGACGTGGCACTGTGTCTGACGTGGCACTGCTGACGTGGCACTGTTGATGTGGCACTGCTGACGTGGCACTGTGTCTGACGTGGCACTGCTGATGTGGAACTGTGTCTGACATGGCACTGCTGACGTGGCACTGCTGACATGGCACTGCTGACGTGGCACTGCTGGCGTGGCACTGTGTCTGACGTGGCACTGTACCAACTAGGAATGCAAGCACAGGGGTGGGTGGGAGGGAAAACGCAGGTAGGAAACCAACCCAACAATACTTTCCTCCGGCCCTAATCAACAGATAAAATAAATAAAAAAATAAAAGAGGACTACTTCCTTTTTTTTCTTTTTTTTTTTTGTATATCTGTCGATCTGTTACGAGTGAGGTATGTCAGAAAGTACTATGAGCGAGATCTAGGCCAGATTCCGCAAAGTTTCGGCTCTTACAAAATGCAATCTTGAAAAAAAAAAAAATTGCGAAATAAAGTAGAGATGCGATTTTCAGAAAAGGACTAAATCCCGTTCCTGCGAATATGGCAATCTCCTACTATGCCATGCTGATAGGCTCCGCAAGATTTCAGTTTTCAAAAAAAATTTGCGAGATAGAATGGAAATTCGATTTTCAGAACAGATTAAATCCGGTTTCCGAGAATATGACCACTTCTATCGTTATCCTAATAGGCCCAGAAAACGAAATGCTCATATCAGAAATTTCGGCTATGTGTGCAAACTATCAGAAAACAAAATGATATTTTCAGAAAGTTCGGATATTTGTTGCGTAAAACGAAATGCAAATATCGGAATTTCCAGGTAGATCGTAATGCTATTATCAGGAATTTCAGATAAAAACGAAATGCGATTTTTAGAAATTTTCAGATATTTGTTACGTAAAAACGAGATACTAATATCAAAATTTTCAGAAAAAACGAAATGCGATTATCAGAAATTTTCAGATATAACGAAAAGCTATGATCACGAATTTTCAGATATATGCGGAAGAATTTTTTTTTCAGAGATTTGACGAAGTCCTACTTGATTTACTAACGAGTGTTCGATAGATCAAGCAAGCTGGCTACTTGATTGAGCGGGTCCTCTGAATGAGAGGTCCGCTCCGATACCAAACTGTTGCATACTGTAACTGTGCAGACCAGAACAAGAACTGACCTCTCATACGAAGTGCAAGATGGCGAAGCGGAAGACTTAGATACCAATGATCCGAACAATCAATATTGCAATGCAGCTCTGAACATACATCA